CTTTTGAGAAATAGCACCTTACTCAAGACCCCGAAGCATGACACGTACGAAAAAGGAGGCATGTGGCTCTGGGTGAGAGGTGGGCCACCCCGCCTGGCACCCCGCCTGCTCGGGCTCCCGTTTCCACCCTCTCCACCCCAAACTCCGAAAACCCCTGTGCGACAGGGGACTGCTGTTGTCTTGTCTCCTCACAGCCTGACAGCCACAATGCTATTACGCTGTAAGACCCCTGAGGCTAGGGACTATGTCCTGTCTTTTAATCTCTAGCTCCCAGCAGCTTTTCTAACCCAAGGCAGCCACGTGCCACATAGTGTTTGTTGAGTGAATGAATGACCTGGGAACTTGTCGCTACGATAATGTGACTAATGAGATTTCCTCAGAAATCTGGCGCAACAAAGATCAACATTTGTTTTGGCCAGGCGCAGTGGCTGATGCCTGTAATTTCAGCAATTTGGGAGGCTGAGGCGGGCAAATCATGAGGTCAGGAGCTCGAGACCATCCTGGCCAACATGGTGAAACCTCTTCTCTACTAAAAATACGTGGTAGTGGGCACCTGTAATCCCAGCTACTCAGGAGGCTAAGGTAGGAGGATCGCTTGAACCCGGGAGGCGGAGGTTTCAGTGAGCAGACATTGCGTCACTGTGCTCCAGCCCGGGCAACAGTGCTAGACTCTGTCTCAAAAAAAGAAAAGACATTTTTATTTGTGGGTACAGGTCAGCAGAGGTTCGGCTCTGGGTATCATTTCAGGGCACGTGGCCACACCCAGCATCGACAGAGCAGGAGAAAATTCTGCACCCACTCTTGGCGGGGGAGGGTGGGGATGCACTGCAAAGCCACCTGGCAAAAGAGGCAAATGTGAAATTCTACAGCAGGGAGAGAAGGAAGAATTAGAAACAAGAATCCAATCGCCACAAACTAGAAAATGGAAACAATAAGAAAGAATGCATCCCTGGCGGGGGAGAGGTTGTTATGGGAGACTGCGTTTCAAGCGTGCTGTAGGCACGAAGCGGGGGATGGATGGAGCCACCAGGTGCTGTGATGCCACGTCCCTCTGCAGCGACCACCACGCAGTGGCCATGAGGACAGCTCATTCTTATAGAGGCGATGGCGTGCCAGGCGTAGGGACCCCATGCCACAAGGCGCGCCCCACAGAGGGATCGAAGCTGTGTGTTCTGCTCCAACAACCACCTGAGCCACCACTCCTCAGAAAATGAGCGGTTAGGAAGGGAGGCTGGCCTGGCGTCTCAAAAGCTGTCAGGATAGAGAAAAATGTGGATATTGTGAGCACCTCAGGCTCGGTGGCGGTTTATCTGAGGATGTAAGGATGTCCATGTAACTGGCATCAGAATCCAAAGGTCCCACCTCCCCTGTGCACGGGTGTGCACACGCACACACTCACGCCCTCCCTCCCTCCCAATCCTTGGAAGGGACTCAATTCAAAGTCGTAAATACACCACATCTGCCTACCTGGGGGCTGCTGTGAGCATCAGACGAGGAAACGCCTGCAGCGCTCCATGCCTGCGAAGTGTCACTCAGCCCCAGTTTTGCTCTTGGGGAGAGAAGAAAAACCCTGCAAGTCCCGAGTGTTTTCAGAAGTTTGTCAGTTTATAGTTTCCTTCTTTTCCTTTCCAAAGCTCCACTCACCCAGGAGAATAATGTAAACACTTGTGATGGCGTTTTCACAGTCCCAGGGGCATTGATCCTGATTGGGAACCTGAAAACAGCTGAGTTATTAATGTTTGACAATGCAGTCACGCAGCACTTACATGTTAAAAATCTTTCATGGTGAATATTGCTTTTATTTTCCAAGCACTTTCTCCTCTGTTGTCTCTTAGGCGAGGAGTCTTCCTCCCAATGAGGGCGATCAGAAAACAGGGGTCAAGGCCAGGCACGATGGCTCACACCTGTAATCCCAACACTTTGGAAGGCCGAGGCAGGAGGATCACCTGAGGTCAGGAATTTGAGACCATTGTGGTCAACATCATGGTGAAACCCCAACTCTACTAAAAATACATAAAAAGAAGTTGGGCATGGTGCCACGCGCCTGGAATCCCAGCTACTCAGGAGGCTGAGGCAGGAGAATCACTTGAACTCAAGGGGCAGAGGTTGCAGTGAGCCGAGATCACGCCACTGCACTCCAGCCTGGGCAACACAGCAAGACTCTGAGAAGAAAGAAAAGAAAGGGAGAGAGGGAGGGAGGGAGGGAGGGAGGGAGGAGGGAGGGAGGGAGGGAAGGAAGGAAGGAAGGAAGGAAGGAAGGAAGGAAGGAAGGAAGGGAGAAAGAAAGAAAAAGAGAAAGAAAAAGAGAGAAAGAAAGATAAAGAAAGAGGAGGGAAGGGAAGGGGAGGGAAGGGGAGGGGGAAGGGGGGAGAGGGAAGGAGAGGGGGAGGGGAGGGGGGAGGGGAGGGAGGAAGGAGGGAAGGAAGGAAGGAAGGAAGGAAGGAAGGAAGGAAGAAAAAGAGAAAGAAAAAGAAAAAGAGAGAAAGAAAGATAAAGAAAGAGGAGGGAAGGGAAGGGGAGGGGAGTGGAGGAGGAAGGGGGGAGGGCGGAGGAGAGGGGGAGGAGAGGGGAGGGCAGGGGAAGGGAAGGGAGAGAGAAAGAGGCCAGGCGCAGTGGCTCAGGCTTGTAATCCCAGCACTTTGGGAGGCCCAGGTGGGCTGATCACGAGGTCAGGAGTTGGAGACCAGCTTGACCAACATGGTGAAACCCCATCTCTACAAAAAAATACAAAAAATTAGCCAGGTGTGGTGGCAGGCGCCTGTAATTCCAGTTACTTGGGAGGCTGAGGCAGGAGAATCGCTTGAATCTGGGAAGTGGAGGTTGTAGTGAGCTGAGACCACACTATTGCACTACAACCCGGGCGACAGTGCAAGACCCCATCTCCAAAAAAAGAGAGAGGAAGGAAAGAAAGAAAGAGAGAAAAGAAAAAAGAAAAGAAAAGGCAGGCCAGGCACAGTGACTCTCGCCTGTAATTCCAGCACTTTGGGAGGCCCAGGTGGGCAGATCATGAGGTCAGGAGTTTGAGACCATCCTGGCCAACATGGTGAAACCCCATCTCTATTAAAAATACAAAAAATTAGCCAGGCGTGGTGGCACGCGCCCGTAATCCCAGCTACTTGGGAGGCTGAGGCAGGAGAACTGCTAGAACCCAGGAGGCGGAGGTTGCAGTGAGTGGAGATAGCGCCATTGCACTCCAGCCTGGGCGACAGAGTGAGACTCCATCTCAAAATAAAAAAAATAGGAAGGAAGAAAAGAAAGAAAAGAAAAGAAAAACAAGGGTCGAGGAGGATCACCCCACTCGCTTCCTGCCTGTCCCAATAGGGAGGTGGGGGCATGCAAGGCACTCTTGCAGGAATGCTTGTATCAAAGACCCCAAATGGCTCAACAGAGGCCCAAGGCTGGCTGGAGTGCCAGGTCTTGGGGGCTGCACGCTCCCCGCCCTCCCATCCGTTCTCTGCTTCCCCCACTCCCCGCAGTTGAGACTGCTCCCTCCTGGGCAAGGGTCTGGTCATTCCCCCTGACACCTGGCCTCCCCTGAACTCCCCCCTGAGAGTCACCTTTCACGCATTTATCATTTGCTCAAAAAGCCCACTCAGCACCCAGGCTGTACCTGATGCCACACTGCAAAATGGAGCCCTGGCTTCAAGAGGCAAGCCCAGCACACCTCCAACGAGGCACAGGCCTTGGGGCAGTGGAAGAGACCTGAGGCCAGCTCCCCATCCCCACCTGCTCCCCTGCCACCTCCCAGGGATGCCTTGAAGCCCAGGTTTCTCCAACTGGGGCCCTCGGGAGCTGCGGGCGAGGGGCTCGAGACACCCTCATCAGCACGTCTTGCTGGAGTAATCACTTTACTTAAGAAGTAAATTGGGACGGGAGGGTTAGATGTTGCTGCTGTGGTCATTGTTGTTCTGAGACAGGGGCCGGCTCTGCCACCCGGGCGGCAGTGCGTGACGCACTGGGCTCAAGCGATCCCCCCACTCAGCCTCCCGAGTTTTGAGTGCCACCACGCTCCATTAACTTTTCAATGTTTTATAGAGATGGGGTGTCCTTATGTTGCCCAGGCTGGTCTCCAACTCCTTGGCTCAAGTGATCCTCCTGCCCTGGCCTCCCAAAGTGCTGGGAGTTTAGATGTGAGCCACTGCCTGGCCGGTGTTAAGTTAAACTATTTGATTGCTGCACAACCTAAAACATAACTGTTATGCTAAGACACATCGGACTGTATTAGAGGGCATGATGTAAAAGTCATGAATTTCTACAACTTAGCCTCAGTGGGTCACAGACTTCTGTTCCCTTCTGCCTGCAATCCCACAGGGATCGCTCTGGCCTGGAGCCATCTCAGGTTTTCCCGAGAGAGCAGCTCCCCAGCCTCCCTCCAGGCCCCACTGCAGAATCGCACCCTCCTCTTGGTCCAGGAGTGCTTGTCCTGAAGCCTGCTGGGAGCCACCGGAGCAGCTCCTGGGTGGCTGACGGAGCCTCCCTCCCTGTGGGGACGGCAGCAAGGACACCAGCCATTAATCACTCTTCCCTCCATTTTGTCAGACCCAGCAACCTCCTGAAGATGCCGCACAAACACACTTAACCTTTAAAGGGCTGGGTGGCAGCCCCAGGGAGGGAGAGCTCAGTGTCCTCACCCCGGAGGTGAGCCCCCTTCCCACCTCCTCTCTCAGACCCTCCTGGTCATGGAGAAGGAGGGAGTTTAAAACAAGAAGGAAGGGCTCCGGGTAACCCTCGCCTACTGTCAAGCTGACAGAGCTCCGGCCACTAAGAATCCAGGAGAGGTCTCCCAAGGAGGATGAGGGTGGAGGAGAGATGTCAGCAGGAGTGGCTGCACCTGTCTGTTACAGCTTCCCCAGGAGCCTCTGCCACTGTGGCCCCTGAGGATGGGGCCCTTCCTGCCGACAGGAGCCAGAAGTAGTGAGGGTCCCAGGCTGGGGACAGGGGCTCTGCCTGGGGCCTAACATCTGGGGGTCAGCTTGGCTGGATGAGGGTCCCCTACCACCCCTTCCCTTTGCCTCCCTCCTACATTCATTCAGCAAAGTGAGCAGCTGCCTCCACGTTCCAGGCATGGCACTGGGGACCAAGGATGAAAGGAGAAAGAAAAGACTGTCCGATCCCAGGGGACTCCTGGTAAGTACAGGGTGGGGAGCAGGCTTGCAAGACATTGTTTCCATAGGACAAATGTAAATTCCAGGATGGGTAGGAAGGAGGCGCTGTGGAGCCCTGCGGGGGAACGGAGCTCTGGAGCTGGAGAGGTGGCTGTCAGAGATGGGCAGCGCAGCAGAGATGTTTGACCTCGGCCTTACGGTATGAGTAAGAGTTCTCTGAGCAGACGGAGGGAACGTGAATGTACTGGCTAGGACCTGGGTGGTGAGGACGTGGAGGCCAAGGCTCGGGTCCCGGCCTCCCCGGAGGGTCAGCGAGGCCAGCGCCGAGCAACACGGCCACGCAGTGGATCCCAGGCTCTGATGGTGGACGCGTTACCTGCCGCTGGCAGCTGGCTTAGCTGCAAAGGGCCCTGCCCACAGCGACACCCTCCTCTGAGGGGCCACAGCCAAAGGCCTGTGCTGACGAGAGACCAGGGCTGGCCGCCCCAGCCCACTCAGGACAGCTCTGAGGGCTTCCCTGGCCAGGCTCTCCCGCAGCCGCTCCAGCTTCCTCCTCCATTGTTCTTCAATAACCATCCTGCAGACTCAGCCTGCTGCCCAGGAAACCAAACCTGTAACACACAGGGTGACAGCAAGGCTGTAATTTAGAAACCAACGGGCAGTAAACCAGATCAGAAATAAAAGCTCCCCATCAGCTGGAAACCCAGACTCATTCCAGTTTCACAGCCGAGGCTCACTCCCTCCGAATGCCCACCATGGAGGACCACAGAGACGGGGGCTTCCCAGGGAGCTGCTCCAGACTCTGTCTCCCACCTCCTGGAGGTTCCCAAACCCTCAACCAGGACACCACACACTCAGCATGCCACCGTAGAATAGAAAGGGTGTGTCCTAAAGAAACACTGTCCTGGCAGACCTGGGACTGCCCGGGGTAAAAGAATGCAGTACAGCTGTAGTGACACAGAAGATGCAAAACCCGGTGTCCCAGGATGCGGAGTAAGGGCACCCAGACGCACGTGCTCAGAATAGCTCCGAGCCACGCCTGCCTCACACCAGAGATGCCGGAAGCCACAGGGTGCACACAGATGGCTTGCTTACCCACCATGCACGTCCTGCTCCGGCAGAAGGGCCCGGCTGAGTTCCCAAGGCAGCAGATGAAGAAAACTCAGCTCTTTTAGAGAGGGAAATCAAGAGGAAACAGACAGAACTCACCTCCTCCTCCTCTTCCTCCTCCTCTCTGTATCCCTGGCTAAGAGGCTCGAGGTCGGAGGCAAATGAATGGCCTTCAGGTGCTTGAGTCTGTCCATCAATTACACTCTCCCGCCCAAGCCATTGCAACCTGCTTTCCATAAAAACTTGAGCCTCTGGCCGGCACTGACCTGACACCAGCCGGGAGTGGCTGCTGAATGGCACTTGTCCCTTTGTTTGTTGTCAGGAAGCTTAGTTGCCAGGGATTTGTTACAGAAGACACCGAGGTGTGTTGTTCATTCACTCTGACCTGTCTGACTACGTTTCTTTGTAGTAGAGAGAGGGAGGCATTCTGCCCTCTGGATTTCTAATGTGCCACACGTGTACGACAATGGCTTACAAGTGCCAGTCCCTGTGGGATGGTTTGTTCCCACGACAATGTGCAGGTGAGCAGGCATCTTCCCCTCTCTCCTCCTCCTTGTCAGACCTCAGGGGGTTAAAGGCTGGGAGCAGGAGGAGCCTCAGAGTGGGGGATGGAGGAGGCCTGAACTAGGACTGGGTGGAGACCGCCCCACAGGTGAGAGGGAGGAGGTGACCTGGGCACAGAGTGGGTTTAGGGTATCCAGCACACAGCTGCCCTTGTGGCTGGGGTAAGGCAGGTGTGAGCCCTCCAGGGACAGCCTGGAGCCAGAGGGTGCTGAAGGGGTCTTACCGTAGGTGGCCTCAAGTAGCAAGCTGCTCACCTTGAATCCCGAGAGTGAGGCCAGGGAGCAGCGTGCACAAGGGCTGGGCCTGGGGTCACCAGGGAGCAGAGGGCAGGGCAGGACAGGGACAGCAGGACCCTGAGGCCCCTCATGAGAGCTGCAGGAAGGACACCTGCAGGAGTGGGCAGCTAAAAACAACAAAGCAACAAGCAGAACCAAGTCAGGGCCTGGCAAAGGGGCCTCAGCCAGGCACTGAGCTTCCAGCCCACCTGTCAGCCCCAGGGCTGGGCCATGCTCCATCCCTGAGGACTCAGGGCCAGGCAAGGCCAGCAGAAGGCCAATTAGGGAGAACAGGAGCCAGATGACTTCCACTCCAGGGAGCAGCACTGTGGCTGGCCCAGGAGCAAGAGGGAGGAAGGGCAGGACAGGGCCTCCGCAAGCCTCTAGGGACAACCCCAGTACCTTCTTTTTCTCTATATATTTGTCTGATCCTCTGGTACAGTGACATTTGGAGGTTCAGAGGTGGCCTGAGCTCAGCTACCTTGGCCGCAGCTCAGGTCTCAGAGGCCTGCAGCTCAGCAGAGCTTCTTACCTGAGATGCTTTATAAAGGTCCCCTCCCAGCCATCCCTGGCCCTGGCCCTCCTAAACTTGGAATGGGGTCTTCCCAGGCTGGCCTGCCCACTAACCTCTGAGAACCCATGAGGGCTGGGTGTGATGGCTCACACCTGTAATCTCAGCACTTTGGGAGGCTGAGGCAGGAGGATCACTTGAGCCCAGGAATTTGAGACCAGCCTGGGCAACATGACAAAAGTCTGTCTCTACTAAAAATACAAAAATTGGCCGGGGGTGCTGAGGCAGGAGGGCTCACCTGAGCGCTGGAGATCAAGGCTACAGTGAGCCGTGATTATGCCACTGCACTCCAGCCTGGATGACAGAGTGAGACCCTGTCTCAAAAAACACAAAGAGGGAACCCATGGGGACCGACATGAGCTTCAGGTCATGTTGTCTGGGTTTGAGAACTCCATCAGGCACTTAGTAGCTGTCCATCTTAGAAGCGAACCTGAGCCTCCATTTCCTTGCATGTAAATGACAAATAACAATGATTAATAGCTACCTCATAAGATTGAGGTGATAATTTTATTTTTTGTACTCTTTTTAAAGTTTTTAAATTTCTGTTGGCACATGGTAGGGGTGTGTGTGTATGTATATATTTGTAGTGTACATGAGATGTTTCATACAGGCATGCAATGTGAAATAAACACACCATGGAGAGCGGGGTGTCTATCCCCGCCAGCATTTACCCTTTCAGTGATAAACAATCCAATGACACTCTTTATTTTAAAATGCATAATTAAGTTATTATTGACTATAGTCACCCTATTGTGCTAGCAACCAGTAGGTCTTATTCTTTTTTAACTAGTTTTTGTACCCAGTAAGCATTCCCACCTCCCCTCCAGCCCCCGCTACCCTTCCCAGCCTCTGGTAGCCATGCTTTCACACTCTGTGTCCATGAGTTCAATTGTTTTGATCTTTGGTGTGATGACTTTTTTTTTTTTGAGATGGGAGTCTCGCTCTGTCACCCAGGATGGAGTGCAGTGTCCCTGTCTCAGCGCACTGCAACCTCTGCCTCCCAGGTTCAAGCAATCCTCCTGCCTCGACCTCCTGAGTATCTGGGATTATAGGCGCGCACCACCAGACCCAGCTAATTTTCGTATTTTTAATAGAAATGGGGTTTCACCATGTTGGCCAGGCTGGTCTTGAACTCCTGGCCTCAAGTTATCCGCCTACCTCAGCCTCCCAAAGTGCTGGGAATACAGGCATGCGCCACCGTGCCCAGTCCTGTAGTAACTTTTTAAACAAGGTACTCAAAGGACTCTTAGCACAAGGCCAAGCAAATCCTAAATGCTCAAAACATGCTTTTTTAAAGTATTATTATTATTGTTTTTATTACCAGTGACACCTTCAGTCCCCGCTACAGAGGGCTGTGGGGACAACCCCAGTATGTTATTTTTCTCTGTATATTTGTCTGATCCTCTGGCGGAGTGACATTTGGAGGTTCAGAGGTGGCCGGTGACTCCAGCTTAAAAGAGCTGTGAAAAAAAAGAGATGAAGAAACAGGAATCATTCCACCAAACCCAGAACCTTCCACACTCCCAGCCATTCTACTGGGAGAGACGCTGATGCCAACCTCAGTCCCCTCATCCACACTGGAGCACAGCCAGGGCCCAGACGTGGGGTTGGTGCGGCAAGACTCACAGCACCCGCCTTCTATGCAGACCCTCTGTCCATCCCAAAGAAAATGAAAACCAGGCAGATGTGGTGGCTCACACCTGTAATCCCAGCACTTACGGAGGCCAAGGCAGACGGATCACTTGAGGTCAGGAGTTTGAGGCCAGCCTGGGCATGGTGGCCTATATCTGTGATCCCAGCTGCTCAGGAGACTGAGGCAGAAGAATTAGTTGAACCTGGGAAGTGGAGTGCAGTGAGCCAAGACTGCGCCATTGCACCCCAGCCTGGGCAATGGAGTGAGACCCTGTCTCAAAAAAAAAAAAAGAAAGAAAATGAAAACTGTTCAGGGCCATCTTCTGATGCTCCTGCTGCCTCTTTTTTTTTTCTTTTTCAGATAGAGTTTCTCTCTTGTTGCCCAGGCTGGAGTGTAGTGTACAATCTCAGCTCACTGCAGCCTCTGCCTCCTGGGTTTAAGCAATTCTCCTGCCTCAGCCTCCTGAGTAGCTGGGATGACAGGCACCCACCACCACACCTGGCTAATTTTTTTGTATTTTTAGTAGAGACAGAGTTTCGACATGTTGACCAGGCTGGTCTCGAACTCCTGACCTCATGTGATCCACCCACCTCTGCCTCCCAAAGTGCTGGGATTACAGCCATGAGCCACCGTGCCCCAGCCAACTCCTGCTGCCTCTTCACCCCTAATTTTTCCCATCTCACCTCTGAAGAGCAGCCAAACAGAAGCTAAAGAGAACTGCTCCAGCTCCTCCCTGCTCGCAGGTCCTGCTCCGACCCAGAGGGGAGTCATGGCCCTGATCTGTCTGTCTTGTCTAGAGGTAGAGGGTGGCTTCTCTGTCCCCAGCAGAACCCATCTGTATCCCTCACCCCCTGAGAACCTACCTTGGCCTCTCCTTCTTGCTCCTCCCTCCCTGGTCCTCCACCTTCAGGCCCCCACGGCTGACAGCCCCTGGTGGTCCCAGGAATTAGCAGGCAGCATTCTGACTCCCGCCTTGCTCCTCGGACCCCTCCCCACACCCTGGCCCATTCTGGTACGAGGGAGATTTGGTTGCCTTCATTATCGACTATAGCACAAAAACACAATAAAATAAAATGAGTGTTTTCTCAGCGAAAATCCATTAGATGAGTTACTGTTGTAATTTAATAATGGGATGGGAAACTAGAGCACATTACTGAAGTATATAATTAAAGTGAATCTATTTTAAAGTCCTTTATTGCTCAGTAGCTCTCAGACCCCAGTCTCTCTTTCACCTTCACTCCCCTCTTCCCGAATCCCCCTTCCCTTTTTCTGAGGCTGAGGAGGGGGGCTGGGTGTCACAGGTTTCTTTGAAGTTGTCAGGACCTCGGTGGCAAACAGCTTCCTGCTGTTTCCAAGGGAGGATCCTTGGCCCAGCACCCTGAGGCCCCAGGCAGGCCTCCCTCTGTCAGAGCAGGGGCAGAATGAAGCTGCTACCGACTGACCCAGGACCCGGCTCTGCTGGATCCTGGGGAGTGAGGCTTGATTCTTGCCCTAAAAGCTAAGTCGGCCAAACTGGGCAGAGGGTGGTGAAGGGGAGTGGGGAGATGTCCGCACTAAGGACACTCTTCCCCAAGGACAGCGGCCGCTGACTCTTGCACCTCAGATTTGCCAGTGACCGCCAACCCCAAAACAGTATTGTGGTTAAGAGGCAGCAGGAAGCTAAGGCTCAGAGAGGTTTAGAACTTGCCCCGGGTCATAGAGCTGTAAGCGTCAGAGCTGGAATTTGATCTCAGGCACTTGACATAGGACCAGCTGCCTCCAAGAAGCTCCCAAGTCTGGATTCCTGTGTGCTGGATGTAAACGCCAGCAAGCCTGGCCAACTCTTGCCCATTTTCAAAGGAGGAAAGAGGAGAGGAACCAAGCGGCTACTACCTCCATGCTCATTTTCTGCTTTCTGAAGAAGGAGAGCCCCAGGAGTGGCACAGTCAAGCCAAACCTGAATCCTGCACGCCCCAAATCCTCTCCCAGTTCTGCCCCACCCCCTCCTTGGTAAAGAGATGTTGCCTTCATGAGAAGGGCCAGGCTATGTCCTTGGGGGGCTCACTGGAAGCCCTAGCACCTGAGATTGACCTGGCCTGCCATAGGGAAGGGGATGCTGCAGCCGGCCAGCTCAGGACAGGAAGGGGCCAGCCACGCCTCTGATCACTTAAAGTGAGCTTGATGAAAGAAGTTTTGCGATTCATTCAAACGCAAGATGATGCATTTTTCCCCTTTCCAGAGCCCCCAGACTGCACTCAGGGATCTCTGTGCTACTGGCAGCCACGGAAAACCAAGTGACTCAAATGAAGCCACACAGACGCTTTGAAATCGCAGTGAGCTCCTGGCATGAGAGAGAAAATAACTCCCAAGGAAAACTCCCCCTGCCCAATGATAGGTTTTCCAGGGAAAGTTGGACCTCTGG